GTTCACGCAACTGTTTAATGCGGCGTTGTTTGATGATTGAACGTACGCATACCCGCAAGGCAATATACCAATATAAGCCCGGTCAGCGAGATGCCCAGCGGAATACGATCCCCGAGACCCAACTCACTTAAAGGGAAAAAGAAAGACAGACCTTCAGGGGTACTCGAGGTAAGGCCATATTGAATTTAAAATCTATTCGCTGACTTTGGCTATTATTCCTGGTATATGCGAATGCGTGGATACGCACAGACGCATTAAATCTTTTTTCAGTTTAGGATTAAACAACGATAAATTTAGTGCTCTTGGTGACCTTTTGCTAGATTGACTCTCACAGTCAGTCGACGATCATATACGAAACACTCTCGATCGAATTATAGTAAAGTCTGGAAGTTAGGGCGTAACTTCTTGCTAATAATTAAACGAATTGGTTCCGAGGCAAAAAAACGTATGCTGAGGATAAATTAGCACAAGAAGTACTTCAGAGATATTCGAGCGATTAGAGTACCTCGGGTGCTTGATCATAGATACAGGCAATATTCGAGAAACGATAAGATCACGAATAACGAACGCTAGAGTAGTGTCGTTCATCTGCGATGTGTGTGTAGTGCCGTCATAAGGGCCGACTCTCTGTCTCTCACGNCGGGAAGCTCGCATATTCGTAGTGTTTTAATTATTTGATGTGAGACCTGGCCTCCCCGCCGTGAGAACGCTTTGGTCTGATGCAGTAGATTTTTAAAGAATGCAGTGCAGGGATGCAAAATATTAGCTTTCCCATTCTAATTGAGTCCCCTTGATGTGATGAATCCATTTTGGATTTGTGGACAGTAAGATATCAAGGTTTTTAACTTATCGTTGTTGCACTGCGGACTAGCCAGGCATGTGGATTCTGGTCAAATTGTCGATCGTTTCGGTGATTGTTTATCATTGATCAATTATGAATAGCGTCTCAACGCATTTCGTCGGATTTATCACTTTTATTACAGTTTTAGACCACACTTCAACGGATGAGACGGTGTTCGAGTTATTTGGGACGATATGATCGACGGTCATATTATCGGTTGGGATGACTGGGAAGTTTTGTTAACATTAGACGGAAGAGAACGGTCTCTTATAGCACACTCAGATTGACGAGGACTGTTGAAGAACTGTTACTATTGGGACAGACGAACAGTCAGTGATCAGGAAAAAAATAACCACATAANAAATAACCACATAACCACCGAGGAAAGTAATAGGGGATTCAAAGACTCAAAGACAAAGATTCAAAAGACTCAATAGCCTATTCCTATTGAGAGAGTCAAAAATCGTAGTTTATGGTCCAGAAAACAGACGTGAAACATGTTTTGTTTCTGGTCTATAGAATGTGAATTTAAGTGCACTAGACAGGCGATAGCGTCGACATTTGATCGCTGATTGCGGTGTGCGAATTGGATGGAGTCACAGAGGTTCATCCAGCATATGATGGCTCTATTTCGCTGTTGAAGCGATTGGGTGCAACTTTGCTTTTCATTCTCTGAGATGGTGATCTAACCCAACTATTTGACAAGCATAGAGACATTGGTATTACTCGTAAACAGTGATCTGGTATGAAATATATACGCCCAATCTACACTTCATCCAGTTAACCATACATTCGCGAAGCACTCTTGTTAGATCTCATCAAATTTGCATATTCATTGTCCCGTCGGGCATTCGAACCAGAATTCTCAATTCAACTTTGTTCCGATATCATCTTTTTTGATAGCCAGTTCTTTTTGGCCCAATTGCAACGACGAGAGGCTTTTGAATGCAGTTAACAGATGACCAATTGTATCTCACTTCGTTGGTATCGGGCTAAAAGAAACTAGCTATGATTGAAGGTAATATGCGAAAAAACTTTAGTTGACTCTTCCGGTCAGCCCAAATAAGAACTGGTTGACAAATTGGTAACATGCTTTCCTTGTCAAGGATCCGGAGTTCCACCCCGTAACAGGACGATGAATACGCACTACTTGTGGTCTCTAATGAGGGTGAAACCCTAGGCTGATGCTTCTCGAGCGTATGGCTGCCTGGATCAATTGGGAATTGTGTGTGAAGGTGAAGTTGAAAGGATGGTCAATCCAAATCATAATCTGGAAAGTTTTGATCAAGGTGATTGTAAGACGACCGGATGAAGCCATTAGATCCACTACTTTTAATTGAACCAACAAATTTCAGCTCGCGTAAAAAATAGTGGGTTATACTAACAGAGTTGTATTGATTGATGTTTAAAGAGTTATCATCGTGGAAATTGATGTGTGCTTCACATGAATAAATGTATGGTTTACTACGTTCATTTAAGTCATTTAAGTGTTTACAGCTCGCAGGGCTCACCTGAAAAGTAGTTTCATCCGTTTTCAGAGCTCACGAGGTGGTATATTTTGAAGGATGATGTTGCAGTACAGTTCCCTAAGTTTTCACCATTTCTTCCTCGATTTGACCGTTCAGTTATCCCACTATTGGTTTGTCCAGCGGTCGATGGGCTTTTTCATTTTCCCTTCTAAGCCTTTTTAGTTTGTCGGACAGAAGTCGATCCGAACGAATCTAATTTCTCACATGGGATAACTCGTGAGATTTCCTCGATGTCAAAGAAAAGATCTGGGCCATTAGCGCCTACTATCGTTTCCCTTTTGTTAATCCGGTAGTGCGCATATGTGGTTTACGACTTAGTAACTTAATTACCGTTTTTCTGTTACATTTATCATAAATCTTATAAAAAAGTTTGTCATACGCTGGTCGAACTTTCCTAGTTGTACTCAGATGAAAAGATACATTACTGAAAAATCGTTTACATTGATTTATGTGCGGTTTGGTATCATTATTTATTTCTGTTCTACCTAGAATTCGACGGCGTTCAAGCAATTTGTTCCACTCAATGGCACAACTTCATCGAAACTATGAAAAGGTAAATGGCTTTTTTCGTCTGCTTGTCATCCTCCTTGAACGTGTTATCAACTCCCGGATGATGGNCATGACTGATGCGACTTGACTGTCGCGGTATCTATAGGAAACGAGTGCCATTCGTGAAAGTATATTTTTATGATCGATGTTTTGTGGGGATTAGTGGTGGAACCATTATCCTTCACTCAACAGAGAAGTCACTACAAACTGTTCCTTAAAAGCTTCTTAACTTCTCACCTCATTTGTTTGTTGTGATAATTTCTCGTAATATGGAACGAACTCATGACATTTCTCAGCGTAACGTTTGTTTTGAGCTTTACCCGTATAGCCAATCAACCCAGTAATTGTGTTTACTCTCCTTTTTTCCTTATTTCTGGCCCACTGTTTTCGAAAACACGCAAATGGTGATTAAATAATACTCATGGTGTGCGCATTTTCTGAGCTTACTAGTGCGTTTGTTGAGATCTTCACGCCCTACATCGAATNCTTTTCAACTTCAGGTGAATCCGTTGTAACTTCAAGTGAATCCGCCGTAACTTCAAGTGAACCCAACTAATCGCCCTCCATTGGAACCTCAAAAGATTATTGATGTTTCGGCCGTCAAATGCCACCGATTGGACCGGGTGCGTCTAAACCCCATCCAGTCCGAATGAACTCACATCCCCGTAAAGAAACAGAAATACTTTTTGACTGAGTTACCGAGCGAGAATGAATGTTTCGGGGGAGGTGGACCGTTCTCCCCTCGCCCCCCCCACCACATACACGTTCCACCCGGCAACGTTATGTTCGTGATCGTTTATCGAGTGGAGCATGTAAAAGGTGTCACATAGAACAATCACTCTTATGGTCATGGTAACAGAAAAGTTTCCACTGTGTTCTAACTGCTATGACTCAATACCTACTGATCTGTTCGTGCCATACCTGGTGATTCACTAGGCTGGTAATACATTGTTGAGAAAATATTCAATTGCGATTTATTTGCTCTTGTATTCGATTAAACTACAAAATGGCATCCGCGGTGCCACTGAACCCTTTCTCTTATTCGACATTCCGTATTAAGACAACCGTGGGCAGAATATTTTACCGACCTCTACCTCATACCTCATGGAGCACCCAGTACAGAGTTATCATCGCTTATTGAATCATAGATCATGGATCATTCTTATCACCACCTATCTCATTTCACACAGATGTAACCAGTATTTGAAAAGAACCAACGGGTTGGTACAATAAAGATAAGAACCGAGGTGATGAAGCTAAGTAGCGAAGGGCGAAGCCACGGGTTACCATTGACATTGTGGATTGAATGTATTAATCAGCCAGGAAATGACAGAAAAATATGATTTCTGTTAGCTAGTAAATAGATTCGAATTTGATCTTACTATTTAGGTGAAATACTGCTCCTTCTTTCTCCATTGTTACCATTGTTAAATATCTTGTCAAGTGTGCATTTCAATATCAGAAATACGTAAGCAGTCGCATTTGATTCAAAGAATCGGTTTTATTCGAGATAAACTCGGCCTCAATGGAATTTACTCAGTGGGTCATTGAGGGCTTAGACTGACTCCACTCATGCAATGAATCATGCTCATTCACGTCTGGGCATGGTGACCGACTTATCGATCCATCTTGACGTGATTCGCTCCCTAACCCAACCGACAGAGGTCAATTAACTCCGGGTTCGTTCATTCGTAACTATGACGCACGCTCGATCAACGATCACAACGTTACCGGGTGGAACGTGTATGTGGTGGTGGGGAGGGGGCGAGGGGAGAACGGTCCACCTCCCCGAAACATTCATTCTCGCTCGGTAACTCAGTCAAAAAGTATTTCTGTTTCTTTACGGGGATGTGAGTTCATTCGGACTGGATGGGGTTTAGACGCACCCGGTCCAATCGGTGGCATTTGACGGCCGAAACATCAATAATCTTTTGAGGTTCCAATGGAGGGCGATAAGTTGGGTTCACTTGAAGTTACAACGGATTCATTTGAAGTTGAAGAGGTATAGTTGATTCGATCCATCATGATGTAATTACCCCTTCCCTCTTTCTGTAGGCACTTCAGACGCCGTAGAACCTTATCCAATCGCGTGCGCAACACATTTTCAAGTCGGTGTAATCTGTGGCTGTTCGGCTGCTGGGTTAGGGTCCGACCATCCTCCCCAATACCATTGGGCTATTGATTCAAATGCTTGTATGTCGATTGTGAAACGTTCAGTAGCCTCGGTGGGATTCGAACCCACGCACGGACGCCGCCTACGCTTTGTACACGCATGCTCTACCAGCTGAGCTACGAGGCCACACCGATAGCACTGATCTTTTCACATTCGAATTTACCCATCCAACTTACGGAGGCATGTGGCATCCACCAGTTAGCATGTAAGCTGACTGCCCCGACAGGTTTTCCTTAGAATTCACCGGACTCCACCGAATGAGCTTCTAAGACAAGTTGAATTGTTCAAATAGTTGTTTGGCAGATTTGAAGTTCGTATGTCGATTGTGAAAATTTCAGTAGCCTCGGTGGGATTCGAACCCACGCATGGACGTACAACGCATAGGCGACGTCCATGCGTGGGTTCGAATCCCACCGAGGCTACTGAACTTTTCACAATCGACATACAAACTTCAAATCAAATGCTTGTAACACACTCGAATAGGGATGCGAAGACATTGATGTTCGGAATTGACCAAGCGTCGTTTTGACTGCTTTTCTCCGCACGGCACCAGGTTTGAGCAACACAATGGAACTAGCCGAACGACCGTAACGTACATTGTATTGTTAATCAAAATGAAAATGTATTATTACCGTCGTAAACAAATTCACTTTTTCATATTCATTACAACCAATTGCCAAATGTGCCAAAACATACAAAGGAAGAAATGTCGAAAAGGTTTGAATGCAAATTTGCCAATGAGAGTTTCGCGATAGTTACGCCATTCGTGCCGGTTTCGGGTTATGTTGATTAGTGTTTCGAACCATAAGTGTTCACCATCCCTGAGACCCCAACTTGGAGTGTCCTGCAGCTGCCGGTGTTGAGGTTAACACCTTTATTCCTCGTGCCCGGCTTATTCATTATCCAACTAGTGGCCGTGTCCGACGAGTGTCAGCTTGATTCAACAACCNACGCAATATCATCCGAAGTCAGTTCACCGGATGGGATCCAGCAGTCTAGATAGGATTACTTATTTACCTGACGTATTATTTCTTCCTCTTACTATTTAAAAAATCAAGTAAAACTAACTTGACTATTCAATGAACTCGTGGCGAATAAAAGAATGGGGTGTACCCAATTGCTGTTCTGCTCTGTAGGCTGATATGTCCAAATGAATGAAGATCAGTACAATTATTGTATGGATGTATCCGCAAAGTTTCAATACTATGAATCATTTTTCATTTTTTTACACAATCATCACGTCTCTCAGGAACATTCGACCGTATGCAAATCACGAATTTTCGCTTGTTCACGAACAAGAAATTTATTTTATGGTTTTTTTCTTTTATAGTTATTAATCCGACGTCAAGTGTACGACTCCCGTTCTGCCACAGCCCGTAATGAATATTTGTTCCAATTAGCGGCGATTAATGCTCATTTGAAGCACTATTTCAACAAGGATTTGCCCACTTTAGCAAAAGTTAGTCCACTTTTACACACTTGATTTTTTTCACTCCTTGTCGATCGATTTCTTAGTTGTTTTCGATAATGGTTATGCGAATGTGTCTTAATTTTTTTTTGTATTTTGGAAAACATCAAAATCGACCTTTCCCGAAATTGTGATTTAGATCAGATGGGACTATTTATCACTTACGAGGGTTTGCTTATGCGTGCCTTCGAGTATCCTGCCCTAACGATATGATTCCAGATATTTGTTTGGTCTCAAAAAACACTTTGAGCATAGAACAGACTTGGAGGTGACAGTATGCTCCATCCCATTGGTGACTGAATTGTGTGTATTTCGGTGCGTTGAACACTGTGTTCAGCAATCTTTGACTTCAAAGTCTTGGTGTTTTCACCACCAAATACTTCTTTCATTGCTGCCTGTAGTTTTTATTACCCAGTGCGAAAAGATTTTTGTATCGGCCGTGTCAAGTTTCCTCATCTCGAACTTGATCAGGATATTTATCTTCTTTTCTACTCACCGGTGTTTGACATGTTTACTGTCACATTTTTTTACATCTAGTAAACATTCCTTTGTAACAGATGAGCAGTAAATTTGAGAATGGAAGCTTAGGCAGATTTTTATACGATCAGGTTTGGATTATGGGTTACGTATTCCTGATGAGAACCGCGTTTTCTCTTTGAGATCGCAGAAAAATAAGCACTTGGTGCCAGAGTGTTTATTGTAGCGTTACTCTCCGCACTAAGAGTCGTTACATATGCATATGCCAGCGAGTTCATTATAGAAGGTAAGCTTTTCGCTGATTCCAGTATTATCTCCAGTCATTTTCAATCCAAACAAAGACAAGCTTTCAGGTTCGCCTGGGTGACAACGCACCAACGATTCAAGAGTCGTTGAACCTTTTGGCAATTGAGGTTACTCGCTATGGTATGT